CTGCACAGATGGCCGATTTTGAATCTTTTCAGGTTCTCAGGCTCCACAAACATGAAGCCTAAGAATCTGAACCTCTTGAGTACTAGTGAAGGGCAGCAGCACAGTATGTGCACGCTGTCCTCTTTTTCCTCCTTGCANAATCTGCAACTACTCTCCTCAACTAGGCCTAGGTTGTAAAAATGTGCCTTAAAGGCCCAATGCCCTGTGAGTAGACCGATACTCAATCTTTGTTTGTACTTACTCATTGTCAGTAGTTCCTTTGTCCTACCTGGCAACGGCTGAGTCATCAAGTCTTTAGCTTGGCGGCAGCTCTTTAGTTTTTGCCAAGATGCTTTATGCTCCTGCTTCAGCCAGTCCTTGATGTAGTTTTTCCCTACAGCAAAGGGTACTCCAACCTTCTGGCAGGCTGGTTCCTCTAAGGTACCCAGTTTTGCCAGATTATCAGCAACTTTATTGCCTTGGATACCTTGATGGCCAGGTACCCAGATTAGCGTGATTTTGTTGCTCTTGCCCAGTTCATTTAGAGCTTGCATACAGTCCCAAACCACTGATGATTCAGTGGTGGTCTTAGCGAGAGCTCCTATGGCTGCTTTGCTATCTATATAGATATTGATCCTCCTAGTTTTTGTCTCCCTTAAGAGTAGGAGTCTTGCGCATTCCAGGATGGCCAGGACTTCCGCTTGAAAGACCGTGGCGAACTTACCTAGGAAGAAAAACTCTCTGTGATTGGATCCCGGACTGTAAATGCCTGCTCCANAGCGGCCGTTTGCTCCAGATCCATCAGTGAACCATGCGTGTTCGCCCGGTTGGATCTGAAGATTTTTATTTTTCCAGTCTGCCCTGGCGGTTAGGTTTANGAAAAACGCTTTTTCCACCTGGTACTTTCTGGATATTCTGTCTTGTTTATAGATGAAAGGAGATTTGTGGAGAAACCCGAGTCTGGTGTGGCTCGACCCGAATTGTTTCCACCCTCCCTGACATCTTAGCCTGTATGCTATGAGTCTGGCAGCACTGATGATTGTCAGACTTAGAGGTGGGATGCAAAGCGCCACCTCCAACGCCTCCGTTGGTGTCGTTCTCATAGCCCCTACTGCAGCTCTCAGGTAGTTACTTTGCAGGCTTTTTAGTAGGTTCTTTGACTCCGTCTTTTCCACTCTAGGCCATCAGACAACAGCAGCATATGTTAAGTTCGGTACTAGTACCGCCTTGTATATCCATAGGGCAGTGTTTAACTTGATGCCCCCGGATTTGCCCATGGCTCTCCTACATGCCCAGTAAGAGGCATGGAATTTAGATCTTTTTATTT